TCACACATTTAGAAATTCCTTGGAATCGTCTATTGCAACCTCTTTGCTTTTACTGCAATATTTTATATATTTTAACCTTACATACTTGTAGAAAAATGTATATATATTCTTAAACATCATTAAGCAAACTCTCAAAACCCGTAATCTTTTAATCATGTGATCTTTTTCGCTTCCGCAAAAAAAATTAACGAAATATACGTATTTTTTGTCGGGTTGAATAAGACAACTCTTTAAAAGCCTATCTAAACAAAATTACATAATCGCATTCATTGATATGCGCAAGAAAATCAACCAATCATAATCCATACAAAGCGTGCCTTTTATATTAGACATATTTTACATTTAATTAATCTGTTTCCTTCTCTAGAACAAGTAATCATCAAAGGTCAAGATAACGTCAAAATTATTTTGACTTAATTTTGACATCATCTTTACTTTTATATAATTATTAGTTCTACTTCAGTTATGCATATGAACAATACGACTATGCAAGTTTGTCTCAATAAGTCTTAAACTCCAGTTAAAATTAATTATGAAACTAAATCTTAGTGTTTTTGAATCATCGGCATCTTTCACGATGTTATGATTATAAATATTATCTATATAACCAATTGTAACCTACACAATGGAACGTTCTTCGATTGAACAGATTGAAATTGCTCATATCAATTATCAATGATATATGGCCTTTCATTACATTCTCTAAGTTTCAATTGTTAATTGAACAATTCCTTTCACAAGTCAAAGATTAACATGCTGATTTGAAACATAATGCAAAAAGCTCGAAAATAAATGCGAAGCAGAGAAGAGATTAACAATGAATGATTATTATTTAATATGCAACTTACATTAACATGGAATGTCTAATTGACTTAATGTCTCGAAGCTACTGAATATGAATTTCTGCTCAAATCTCTTCCTTTCTGTAGGAGGTTTTTGGCTGTTTCGGTTACTTTCCTTTACATTCATATTGATGAGCTGAAGTACTTGTTTCTACGAGATGTTTAAAATTCGGTTGACTTTACGAGTGTTCAATCGTGATTATCTGCTGGCTTTGAAACAACAGAAGCGCGACGCTCAACGTTCTCTCCCCTCGGAGAGGTATTTTGACACGAGCGGCGTGGCAATCTATCGGCGACAGTCATCAGTACTCGCGAGCTTTACGACTGCACTTCGTAATCCGTATTCTAACGATTCTCGTTCTTGTGCGGATTTTCAGTGTTTCTTATCTTAGCGAGTCAACGAGATTTCACAACACTTATTTTTTTCATATTTCTTTTCCTTAACGCGATTATATATAAACATCGCGTGTGCTTACGCGTGTGTTGAATCGCGTCTATTCTTCTTCTTTTTTTTTCTTTTTCTTGTCACGTGTTGTGATTTCTTTTTTTTCATATTTTTTTTCATACAGTGTATAACACTGTATATATTCTAAATTAATATACAATGTCAAATCAGTTCCGTGCAGTTCGCTATTCAAATACCTGTGTGTACAAAAATTGCAGTAATGGGAAATGTAATGGAAAGCGCCTATTCAGGTTTCCCATGCAAAACGACGCAAGATATCATCAATGGATATACAATACAGGTAGATCTTTATCTCAGCGAAGAATGACTTGTCGAATTGACGTCCATTTAACTGTAAGTTGCATATTAAATAATAATCATTCATTGTTAATCTCTTCTCTGCTTCGCATTTATTTTCGAGCTTTTCGCATTATGTTTCAAATCAGCATGTTAATATTTGACTTGTGAAAGGAATCGTTAAATTAACAATTGAAACTTAGAGAATGTAATGAAAGGCCATATATCATTGATAATTGATAATTGAGCAACCATCTAACTGACGTCGTTCCTAGACAGCACGCGATCACAAGAACGTCCGAAAGACGTCTAGAGGATGTTTTACGTCCTAAGAACGTCCGAAAGAAATCTGAAGACTTCCAAACGTCTTCCAAACTTCGTAAAGTCTCTAGCATATTCCTTGATCTTGTGTTATGTGGCTTTCGATGTCGATCGACGAATCATTCCTCGCAGGGATCTTACTGTTTCATATATTAACGTCCTTTTTTTTAAAGAAAGGCAGATTCGTATATGTATTCTCTTAAAGTGAATCAGTAAAAATGTTTTTTATTGTATCAGTAAAAGGAATATTTCACCGTTTTTTGCTGTTTCAATTTTGAAATGGTAAAAAAGTTTGAAATACCTTGTAATTGCAACTGTTCGGCTTATTATCATTCTAATATTACATATTATTTTAACAACGTTGCATTCTAAATCTCAGTACCACAAAATTCTCACAATTCGCGCGATACTCTGTAAAATATAATCAGTGCATTCTTTATTGAAACATTATAGTTGTAATAAGAGCTTTTGCTCTAAATATAGCACTGCAAAAAATTTCGCTAAAAGAATCAGTGAATAACAGCGATTGTTCATGTTATTGATGCAGTTTGCAAATATTGACTGTGTCACTGCACACAAATCTCTTTCTTTTGTTCCATTTATATTTTATTATTTCTCATCAGTGGAAGCAAGATTTCACTGAAATTTTATTTCAGATAAAACTTATTTTAGATTTTTTGACAATGGATTGAACGTTGAGGTTTTATATCTTGGCCATCACAATCACTCGATCTAACATCTATGGATTTCTTTGTGTGGGGGGCTAAGCTAAGAAATCGAATCGTGGCTGCTGTGCATCAAATATCATAAGATTAGTGTTTGGCTGCAATACAAGCTGTCAGTAATAAATGCAATATTTGCATTGCTGCAAAAAGTCAACATTTTGAACAATCTATTTATTAAGGAAAGCAATAAATAAGTGTAAACAAATTAATAAAAAAATAAGTGTAAATATTAAATAAACATTTTTTTGTTTTTCTTTTATTTTCTTCACAAGGAAGTTAAAACGAGCAAATCTGTAAAGGACTTTTTTCTTACTTTATCGATCCTCTACACGCTTTTGAAGTTTTGACATTTAATTTCGGGACACCCTGTACAGTACTTATAATTTTTCAGTAAAAAATTAAGTTGGTTTTTAAAAATAATGTAATAAAACGTTAATAAATACAAAGATTATTGAAATATTTATATAACATTCACCTATAACTCTTTTTCTTATTTTATTAAAGTTATTTCATAATTTCCCAATTGCAATTTTTTTGTCTGAAAATGCTCTAAATATTGAAAAATGTGATTGTTGCTTTGTAGTATGAAAAACTGACACTTATAATTTCATTATTAATATAAATATAATGTAAATATTAAATGCTTTATTATTAATTATTAAATATAAAAATAATTGATATAATGATATCCAAAGAAAAACTAAAAATCCTAAATTAGAAATGTGTAATATTTAGAACAAATATTATTTTTAAATTATATTTAGACGAAACCATGACTTGATGCCAAATATCTTAGTGCAACCATCACAAAATTCTTCATTTCATGATGCTTACTGTATAATACACAATTATTCTATTGGAATACATATACAAATCTCTTGCTACGGAAGTCAGAAATAAACGCGTAATCGCTTGTTTTTTTATTTTTTGTTACAGGAAATACTAAGTTGGAGACATGGTCTCCGAATACCCTTCGAGCTGCGGGATTGTGCGAAGATCATTTTGTTGTGACGTCCTTTAAAAACCCACAAAAAATAAAATTGCGTAGAGATGCCGTACCAATTCCGTACGACGAAGATGCCTCTTCTGCATATAAAGATAATATAGAAATAAGAGAGGTACAAAGGGACGTTGCAGAATTATCTTTACCCAATCACCAAAATATTATATTAGAAAAAGAAGAACTTCAACAGTCTGCAGTACGAACATATGGATCTGGAACTATACTTTTCGACATTACTGCAGAAGAGGAAGATGTCATGGAATGGATGCATTTGGAACCAGAACCACACACACGTGAGAATGTGAAACGTAAGGAAAAATGCATGCAAAGTAAAGAAAATCCAGATAACAATCCAGATTTAATTATCAAGGCTTTAAGAATAGAAAATCTTAATTTACGAAAAAAAATTAAACGTTTAAATTATCAGTTGCGATATATGACACAAGCGCGTGAGAAGTGTAAAAGTCAAAAGTCGGAAAAACAAATATTAAAGAATTTGATAAATAAACAAAAATTTAATCCTGTTGCAAAAAGTATGATACATTTGCAACTGCATATTCCGCGCATACAATATACAGAGGAAGAAAAAATGCTTTAGCAATCTAAGCAATTATTCTAAGCAATTATATTATTATTCAGCGTCAGCATTTTGTCGCTTAAAGAAAGCAGGTTGCAATTTTCCCGGACAGCGAACAGTTAGAAGATGGTTAGAAGAGTATGATATAAAACCGGGATTTTGCGATTTTTTATTTAAAAAATTAAAAGAAAAAATATCGCAAATACCTGAGGAAGAACGAGTGTGTGCCTTAAAATGGGATGAAATGTATATAAAAAGTTATGAGGAATATTCTTTAAAATTAGATGAAATAGAAGGTCTTGTCGATCTAGGACCTCTAGGTAGAAGAAACGAAAGAGCTAAGTGCGTATTTGTACTTTGCCTTGATAGTTTGAATGCACATCATCCGTGGCGACAACCTTTAGCATATTTCCTTGTTAGAAATGCTTTAAAATCAAAGGAAATAGTTGAATTAGTGAAGATATGTTTAGACAAATTAAATGAAACAGATGCTGATGTGCAACTCGTGACATGTGATCAAGGTGTACGCAATCAAGCTGCGTTTAGTCAACTCGGTGTTGAAGTACAAACACCATTTTTTATATATAAAAATAAAAACTATTATGCTTCCTTCGACTTCCCGCACTTAGTTAAAAGATTAGCTAGTTTCCTTAGAATACATGATAAGATATATTGCAACGGGGAAATAATTGCATCATATTCAGATTTTATTAAGACGTGGTGTATCGATAATGCTACAAAAGGAGGCTCAAATTTATTATCCCATATAACAGAGGCACACATTCGTCCAAATAGTTTTGAAGCAATAAACGTGAAAAGAGCGTTTCAATTATTTAGTAATAAATTCGCAGCTGCAATTAAAATAGCCGGTGACGAAAAAGAATTAGATTCTAATACATGGAAAGCTACGGCTGATTTTGCTGAATATATGAATAACGTAATAGATGCTTGCAATTCTTATAGCCTTAAAGTTAAATTTGGTGGAAAACGGCCATTATCCCAAAAAAATCCTGATATTGAAATACTTTTGACTAATTTTGTGCAATGGTGTTCAGGATGGTCAAAATTTCCGAATAAAGTATTTCAAGTTTCATGCTTCAAAGGTTTCGCAATTACAACACAAGCTATTCTTACTTTGTATAAGATACTTTCACGTAAATATGATAAGTTTGAACTTGCAACAGGTTTATGTAATCAAGATTCAGTGGAACATTTGTTTTCAAAACTTCGACAACGCGGAGGATTTAATCCTAATCCTACCGCAAGAATGGTATGACTGTCTGTTAGACATATTCTTTCTATGGGTTACATTCTGGCAAGCGATAAGGGCAACGTTCAATGTTTTGAAAGTGAGGCTCTTATTAATCAGCCGAATCATCTCATGAAAACGATTGAACATTGCATAAGTGTTAATAATGCTGACGTTATTGTTGTTGATGATGATGTTGATTCAGAAACAGAATTGTTCGATAAACATGCAGAAATTGTAGAGGAATACGATGATGTAGACATTGAAAATATGAATATAATAAGTAATTATGATGAAAATGCTATTACATTCTTTGCAGGATATGTAACACGACGATGTATTGAAAAAAATGATTGTAACTATTGTCGTCAAATAATGTTAAAAACACCAATGGAAGACGTAACAGCTAATGAAAAATATATCGAATATCGAGAATATCCTAATGCAGATGAAGATGCGCCGACAGTCACGAAATTAGTTCGACCAACAAATCTTTTTATAAATATCATTAAAACACAGTTAATGGCTTTTAATCATTCGTGGCAACATCACTGGGCATCCACACAACTTCTTGAAAAGATGATAAATGAAGGTATACATGCCACTAATAAAATGCATGCTGAATGGTTTGACATTCATAAAAAGTGTTACAATCATCGTATGCAGGCATTAAAATTTTTAATGACTGTTAAGATATATTCCCGCACACGATATAATAACGATAGTATAAAAGCAAATAATATATTCAATAGAAAATTAAAAAATTTATCGAATAAATAAAAAGATTTATAAAGGAAAACTTATAAAGGACAAACATATCAAATAAAATAAAATACGTTTTAATAAAATAAAGAAAATAAATAATATAGAACGTATAAAATTGTACAAAAGAAGCACAAATGTTCAAATTTCGCGAACGTATTCATAATTACGAAAACTAAGAAATGTACGATTTTCTTTCTTTATTTTGTTATTATTTGTATCTTATATATCCGTCATTGTGCGAAGTAATATTACAGCATGGTATCATGATGTTGCATTTAAAATGTACCTCTATACATGTATAGAGTGTTACAAGTTTGCAAATCATGTATCTACTATAAGTATTACTTTTTAGTAAAGAGAAAAAGAAATATGTTTTCTCAATGTAATGCAAGATCGCACTCACAGTTGAAATAATTGCATGAATCACATAGACTAGCAAATGTATCACGGAAAAAAAAGGTTTTAATGCAATCATGCTATGCAATTGAGAAATCATATATAATTTCTTATTACCAATGACATCCTAAAAGATACTAATGATGATGAAAAATTATAAGGAAATGCATACAAGTGAATCGCATTAAACGTTGACACACGGTATTCAACATAATTATAAAACAGGATACAAACGAATGCCGTTACACATATGACACATAACACTAAAATATAACAATGATTTTCGTTAATTAGTACATAGTACAATATTGCAAACAATAAGACGTCTCGATATTAAAAAGGTGAGGAAAAGGGACGTCAATATATACTTACAACTTTTTAAGGAGGTCTACCTGTAGATTTCCCCGTGATAACATTTGCTAGTCTTAGATTTATGCAATTGTTTCAACTGTGATTGCGATCTTTGCGTTATATTTATGAATGTGTCAACGAGAATAAAATTTTATTTATTAAACATATTTCTTTGAGTACTAAACATTTTCTTTGAATATTGATTTTATAAATACAGTAACAAATATAATATAAAATATATTATAATATAATATATTTTAATATTTAAAATATCTTATAATATAATATATTTTAATATTTAAAATATCTTATAATATAATATATTTTAATATTTAAAATATCTTATAATATAATATATTTAAAAAAATTTAATATAAATTAAATTGTAGGATGAAGTTTAAAAGTTAATTGAAGTGCTTCTTTAGTGGAATAGGTCTATTGGGGATATCACTTAAAAAAAAACGCATCGGCAATAGTACCTCTTAGGTGATGTGGAAATCTATTGATACATTATAATTTTAATAATATACATTATAATTTTACATAATAATTACATTATAATTACATTATAATTTTACATATACATTATAATTTTAATAATATAAATATATTGTTAGCATATAAAAATATTATATATAGAAAAATTTTTTTGATAAAAACTTTTTATTAATTAAATCTCACAGTTATTATGATGTCAAGATCTCTCAAGGTGAGCATCGCAACTGTGTCAGTCGGTAGTCCCGCCGGACGAATTGAAGCGGCAATAGGAAGTAAATAAATATAGCCCTTGAAAATCGTCTCCATTTAGCAAATAATTTCGAATATTACATTAGAGGAATATAGCGAGACCAAAGAGATTGTTCGTATTACGGTTTCTCCTGTACTCTTGTATTACTACCGCCAGCGCAAAATAAAACTTGTTAGCTTTCTCAAAATTGGCGTGCAGATCTTTTGCCCAAAATCTTTCAACTCCCTTCGGATAATTCCTTCTCCGATTCAAAATATGTAAGAGCAACCGATCCCGTGTGGACAATCGATCACGGGAAGGTTTCTTTTTTTTCGGAAATTAGCGGAAAATTTTAGCGTTGGCGACTCATTTCGCGAATTATACAGGATTGCCGTACCTGGCGCCCAACGTTCAAACATTAGCTTTCGAGCTGGGTCAGAAAGCCGACGGTAATTGAGGCGAGAAATCATCGCAAAACATAGAGAATACGTAATGCACTTAATCTCAGCGAGAAATAAGTCATCGATCGCCATCGAAACAATGTCGAATGGACGTCGACTTGACGGTTTCGATGGCGATTCGACACTGTTTCGTTGATGAACGAGTTATTTTTCGAGTTATTATATGCTGCAACTTTTATCCTTTCGATACGCCGTTCACAAAATTTCTTTGAGTGAAATATAATAAAAAAATAAAAAAAAGAAAATAAGTCATCACCGAGTCACTCAAACTTTTTTCAGTTATGTGCAATAATTTTTTATAACTTTCCACTCATATAGAATGATTTTTCTGAATCATTCTGAATCATTCTGAATCATTCTGAATTATTGAGATTCTGAATCATCAAATGAGAATTTTCACTAAATATTGAAAAGTGAATCTGATATACATACAGTGAATTGCAAAATGATTTAGATACAATGAAGTTGAGCTAACTACATTGTCAAAATTATAAGTCATTACTACTGACAGACTTATTCAGTAATTTTATTATATATTGTAGTGGAATATCGGAAAGAGCGAAGAGGTATATCGACGCGTACTCAGAGTAAGAAGTTGAAAATTTGTATTTAATCGTTCTTTTACAAAGCCGTACACTGACGTTATTACACTGACGCGAGCTCCAGTTCTACGCGGAAATTGTAAGCGACCCGCAAGAAGCCGCAAGAAGTCTCATAAGAAGAGTCGTAAGAAGAGCGCACACTTTCTTTCGCAAGGTGACTTATATAACCGTCAAGACAATTCTCGATCAGTCCTTCAGATTCCTCATCGACGATTTCAGAAGGAATCCAGGAGGAATCGTCGATCCCGCCTATTATTGAGTCAAGCAACAAAAACTGTTTACATTAACTCTCGTTGTCAGGCTACTCGATAATGTCGAGATTATGTGAATCTGTAGATCGAAATTCTGCTTTCAATACTATTATTATTATTATTATTATTATTATTATTATTAAGTGTTCTTTATTATATTTTTAATAATATTATTATTGCAAAAGTTGCTCGGTAATGACTTTCAATTTTGCCAATTTTGTGAGCTCCCAACTTCATTGTGTCTACACCGATTAGCAATGTATTGTAAACTCAAGATTTTTCAAAGTCATAAGTTGCATTTATTTATCGCATCTTTGGTAATTCAAGTTTGAATTATTTATTGAAATAATAAATAAAAAAATAATAATATAACAAATAACGTGTGTTAATCTTAAACTTATCTTTTTTAATATTCTTTTTAACTATCCTAACATTCTTTTATTAATTGCATAAAAAAATATATTAAAGGAAAAATCCTCTTTATTGAATTATATGAAATGTAAAGCTCTGAAAATGCCACTTCTGCTTTGAACACGTTCCCGCTTTTTCGATGAATGAACAATCATAAGAAAGATACAGCTAGAAACGCTCCCGGCAAGAAAATATTAAAAATATATAATGACTATCGATTTCTATCGATGTTGGGAATAATAAAGTATCAACAGCGTATATATCATCGTCACAGCACATATCACTCAATTAAATTAAACATTCGTTTGATTATTATGTTTTCTTATTATGTAAACTTGTTAGCGCTTCTCGTTGTTAGCGTTTCTCGTTGCTGTACAAAGTTCAGTACATGCTTTTCCGAATAAAGTATATATTAATTTCCTTGTAATTTATTAGACATCGTTTTAAACTGTAAAGTTAGTGCAAGCCATGCTATATAATAATAAGCAGATAATAGCATAATTTCGTTAATGTATGTGTCATGTACGTAAATATTACTCTTTAACACTATAAGTACAAATAGAATAAAAATGACTTGTTACTTTGTTAACTTTGTATAAACATAACTGAAATATTTATAACAATGCACTTTATATTTTTTACTTATTCTTTTTGAATAAAATTGCAAAGAATAAATAAATAAATAAATATTTGCTCTCTCTCTCTCTCTCTTTTCTCTCCCCTTTCTATAAACGTATCTTTCTACAAATGTCTTTTTAATCATTCAGAAGAAAATAGATCGTTAATCATCAGTAGTTTAGACCTTTCATTCTTTACGCACAGATAATTTAACATCACCACGGTATCGAGCATGAAGCGATTAGTCGAATACTGACGGGCTTTAAAAAAGGCTCCGCCTATTCGAGCGGGGAACGTTTCGTATCATACATACAGATACAAGTGCGTAAAAGCCATTGGTTATGTTAAGAGAAAATTGCTTTGCAACTGTAGTAAAATTCGTGAATCCGATTGAAGTTCTCAGGCTATGTTTAAAATAGAAGTCGTAAAGTCGTAAAGTCGTAGACCCTAAGAAATTGACAAATTGAGAATTGATTGTGATTTGAAAAATTACAATCGATTTTTTCTGAACCGCATGGAAAATAATGAACTGTGTATTGGCCAATAGTCTTTTGAATTACAGCTTAATGATTTTACGACCTCTATTGTAGACGATCCCTTAATCTTGACTGAATCAAAGAGCATCTACTAATTAGATTCACGAATTTTACAATAGTTGTAAAGCAACTTCCTCTATTGAACGCATCTATTGACGCAACTGTCTTGAAAAATATTTGCAAACAGCACTCGGTTTATTAACGCTGATGTGCTTCGGAAATCAATATAACTTGTATCGAATAATAATTCGTAATGAACGTGCTATAATATTTTAACCTTTTCGATACGGCGGATACTCGACGTGTAGAGTGACTCAATGGTTCAAAAAAAGGAATTATATCACTTTATTGATCAAGTCATAATATCCCACATTACTTCACTGCATAAAAAGTCTTATTTCAAAAGTATTGTTTCGTATTTACGAAATTTTGTCATGAATTCTGCTTTGTAATAATCTTGGATTGGATCGGGGGTCAATTTTTTCAGTGCGACACGGGGAATAGAACGTGAAAATCTTGTATGCCTCTACATCCAAAAACAAATAGCAGAAGTAAATTTTTTTTTAATGCATTTTTCGCATTTATTTGAATTCTATCTATTGCGATTGAATGCGAGGGACGTTTTGATTTAAGTGGATTCTTTTTAATGTGAAAGTTCGTATTCGTTAAAATTTTACCACTTTAAAGAGATTCAGGTACTTTTTAATGTAAAATTAAATATACTTCACTGTTTGACAATACAATTTTATAGACAAATGTTTATTAGTTTAATTAATAATTAGAAACGATTCCTTATAATATAAGAAAATTAAAATTTGTAAACATTTTTAATGAAAACATTCACCACTATCGTCTCATATTCAGTGCAATGAAATTTAATACAAACCAAAAGTTTTCAATTCCTTCGCTGGGGCCAGAAAATAAAATTAAGAAATATTGAAAAAATATTAGTATTTTTTAATTCTTTTCGATCCGACATTTTATGCAGGATTGTTTTATTAAACAACCAGAATAAGGTGAGACATACTGTTATATATGTTTATGTAAGGTGTTTTCATATTTATAATGAGTTTTATTCGACTGTTAATTGAATCGTTTATCCGATAAGAACAGGTATATTGTATCCACGTGGAATCTATATGGTTGACGTAAATGTATTGTCGTTTAATGCTCTGCAAAAAATGTTGGATTGAGAAGAATTAACAAGTATTGATATTTTTTAATACTTCTAATTTCTGCTTTCTGATCTGAACAGAAATATTGAAAAGTATTGATTCGCATTAAACTTCATCACGCTGAATGCGAGATGGTAGTGATAAATGCTTTGCATAAAATGTTTATAAATTTTTACTTTCTTATCATAAAGAATCATTTGTTCTTTGTAATTATAAATTAGACTAAAAAACATTTGTCTACAAAATGGTATTGTCAAACAGTAAAGTATATTTTATTTCGCCCTTATGCATTGAAAAGTATTCGAATTTCCTTTCAGAGTGGTAAAATTAAAACAAATACGAACTTTCGTTTAAAAAAAAATTCACTTAGCTTAAGACATTCCTTGCATTCAATCGCAGTAGATAGAATTCAAGTTAATGCGAACTCTCGCATTGAAAAAGATTCACTTCTTCTGCTAATTGTTTTCGGATTCAAAGGCAAGATTTTCACGTTCTATTCCCTGTATTATAATGAATACATATACTGAAAAGTATTGGTCCGCGATTCAACCCGAGATTGTTGTAAAGCAGAATTCACTACAAAATCATGTCTAAAAAGTTGCAAAATAGTTGTTAACATATATTTTACATATTATTATATTAAGTATAAATTCAAACCTATATTTTATATATAATTACGAGTAAAGGCATTTTAAACGCCATTGTCGTTGTCTGTACCGTGCTGCAGTACAATCTGTTTTATAGAACGCGCGCCCGTACGCGCGATCGTAAAAAATCGGCAACTATGCGCCTAGCGTACGCACACGTTTTCTAATTAGTCGGTGTCTGGCACTGCAACGAGAGATGTCGGCGAATGATTCTGTGAGTATATATTTAATCGTTAAATATTAATATAATTATTATATATATATATTAATTATATATATATATATATTATATGCAACAAATATGTTTTATGAATTTTTCCAGAACGAGCTGAACGCGGTGATGACGACGTCCACGACGGCGGCGTCTGCGGGGGCTGCAATGGCCACGACGGCCACGACGGCCACGACGGCCACGATGGCCACGACGGCCACGACAGCCACGATAGCCACGATGGCCACGACGGCCACGACGGCCACGACGGCTACGACGGCCACGACGGTCACGACGGCCACGACGGCTACGTCGGCCACAACGGCTACGACGGCCACGACGGCGACCGAGCCAATTATATTAACTGTAAGTATGAAAATCTGTATATGTCTATGCTGATCTATATATTATATTAAATTATAATATATTATATTAAATTGTAAGTTGTTATTTAACGCTTTGTCTCATATTTTAAAATTAACTTATTGTTATAGCCTAAAACACTGCAAAATATTATTAAAGCAGCTGTCGTGGCTGCAGTAGGAAAGGAAGAGGGAGAGGAAGAGGCAGAGGAAGAGGAAGAGGAAGAGGCAGAAGCAGCGGCGAAGACAGAGGAAGAGGCAGAGATGGTAGAAGGGGAAGAGGCAGAGGTGAATGGAGAAGAAGAGGCAGATACGATACATTTGGTATCAACATTTTTCTACATTAACACACACACACATATGTATAAATATTAAAAAATATATATATATTGTAAAAAAGAAAATTCCACAAATTTTATATTTATTCATTGTCAATTTCCGAAGTTTCCAAATCATTTCCTTTCTTAATTACGCGAAACGCAGTATGTGAAAGATGAAAGATAAAATCGCCGCTACCTCGCCTCGTGTTTACTGCTGCGCGCCGCTCAGTAGTGAGACAAAGACGGAACGATTGTCTGTCGTCTGTCTTTTTCTAACCTACTATCCATTGTATGGAAGTAGTACGGACACGAACCTAGGCGCATTTTACTTTTATTACCGCGAAAGTGCGCCTAGCGGACGTAGTTTAGGCGCATTTTGGTCAGATGGCGTATTTAAAGTGCGCCTAGCCGTACCCCCGAAATACGGCCGGTGGCCGCTCTCATTCTTCTCTCTGGTATAAGTATACACAGTATTGACACTGAACTTTTTAGTGGTCATTTTCCAGAGCGCACGTGTCGCTCTATCCTACCAGGAACATGGCAGCCGCCATAGATGACGTATTTAGGTTAAATGTTTGATATACATATTTTTATTTGTGATGTACCAATAAATCTTTGGTACAAATAAAAGAAATTGAAGAAATTGAAGAATTACAAAATATTAATAAAATGATTCGAGGAGGGCACAGTTGTGCCATGTATAAATGACCGAATATTTCAGGACAAATACCTCGCTTAAGCTTTTCTGGTTTTCCGAAGGACGTAGAAAGGTAAAAATAATAATTTTTTATTAATTTTACATATTTGTTTTAGAATTGCCTGAAAGTTTAACTTATACAGGGTGTCCCATTTTAAGTGTCCACCCCAAATATCTCTTATTTTTGATTTTAGAGAAAAATGATTCAGACACGTTTTGTTTGGTTTTGAGGGAGCCATAAGATGGTACCATTGATTTGACCTTGAAGAGTCATTTGAAAGTCACGTGAAGGTTAACTCATTTTTTAAATAGCACCCCCTATTTTTTATTACATATTCTTATAGCTGACCTCGAGAGCTTCCCAAAACATTATAATCAAATGTTTTTTGGTGAAGTACTTTTCGAGTTATAAAGCTCCAAATTTACAAAATTTTGATAAAAATACAAAATATTTCGTAAAACATTCACTTTCCGATAGTCTTATCTTACATGATCCAACTAATCAAGGCAAGATCCGAGCATGATTCAACCAGTCAAGGCTTGCGGGGGCGCCCAAGGACGAATCTTACCCATCGTCCTCTTGTATGGGCGCCCCCACGGATCGTCGTCCAGGGAGCTCACTAATTGCTCCCAGGCTTCCCGCTTGGCCTTCTTGATGGCTGCTTTGAGGACCACCCTGGCTGCAAGATAGTCCTCTTTTGCCCTTGTGGCATCCCCGTCTCGTCGCCGGGCGCGCGTATACGCCCTCCTGGCACGGTCGGAGGCACCGCGGAGTATCGCGATGTCCTCCGACCATCAGTACGCCGCCCGGCGCCGACGCGGTTGGGAACGGGGCATCGTGGCGTCGGCATACGACGCCACGATGCCCCGTTATCTCCCCGGCCCCTTCCAGGGAGCCGGGGTCCCATTCACCTGGCTCTATGTGCCAGGTGGCCACAAGGACAGCAGCCTGGAACCTGTCCACGTCCAGTCGACTGAGAGCTCATCTTTTGGGGAGAGGAAAATTCCTCTCCTCTGGGCGGCAAGCCGACACCTGCTTTGGGGAGGCGGAGGGACCAGACTATATATCTGTGGTCAGACAGCGTCTCGCCCTCCACCCTCCATTCCGAAATCATCCTTGCGGCCGAGAGGGAGGCCCAAGTCAAATCAATGACCGATGACCCCCCTCCCGGCCTTACGCAGGCGCCGGTGGGCCCTCTGTTTACCAACAGAAGGTCCAATCCCGCCGCCCAGCCGATGACCGCCTCGCCCCTGGGATCCCGCTGCCGGGGACTGCAACCCCACTCCTCGGAGTGGGCGTTGAAATCCCCGGCAATCACGACAGGTCGGGGATGGCACTTGCGTACCAAATCCCCGACCCTGTCTAGGATCACTTTTATGCGGGCGGGGCAGCCAAGTCCGGCTTTGTTTCTGAGGTGGGGGAAGTACACCCCCACCACAGTCACGGGCCCCCAGTCGACCGCCACGTACGAGGACCCCTTTTCCCTTAAAACACAGGGAGGGGTCCCCGCTGCAGGGTCAACCACCATGGCCACCGAGCCGTCCGGGCTGCCGAACCAGCATTCGCTGTTGATCGGCACCCAGTTCGGCTCGGTGGCCAACCCCAGCCCGGCGCCCAGTGCCCGGATACTGTGCACCCACAGGTCCTGGACCCGGGCGCCGCGGCCGAGGTTCGCCTGTAGCACCCGGAGTGGCGTGAAGGCTAGGCCTTACACGCCTCCTCCGGGCTGTCTACTTTCACCCCCTCTTGGGAAATCTCTGGCGGCTGGACCGCCTCGGTCTCCTCCGAGGGGGCTTCGGCTTTGGTGGCTACAACCTGCGCCTCATTGTGCACGGAGGGTGACTGCCTCGCGAGAGTCCCTACCTGGACCTCTCCCACCTTTGGAGGGTATGAGGGGAAGCCGTATACTACTAAGAGGGGAGACGGTGGTGAATCACCCTCCGCCTCCCCTTCCCCTAGGGTGGTTGGGGGTGTGTCGTCGGACTGTACCCTCCTAACTTTCCTGGTGTAGTCTTCTTCCGAGGATCCGCTGGTCCCTTCCTTCTTTCGCTCATCTCCCCTCCTCTTCCTCTGGGACAGCGTCTCCTTCTCCATCTGGACCAGCGTTGATGTTCTTTCAGGGATCCCCCAGGATGCCAGAGATGAGTCCTTCTCCTCTTGGTCCCCTCCCGAGGAGTTTACCTCCTCCCTCGTTGCAGAGGAGGCCGGATTGACCTCCTCCAGCTGCTTGCTCCGGTCCTCGGGTTCTTTTGGAGGGGGCTGGCTTCCCCCTCCTGCTTTCCCTCGATCACGGTAGGCATCTTTCGTTCTCCTTGTGTCTTCGCCCCCCTCCTCTTTCTCGAAGAGGAGGGCTTGCAGGCAGGCCCTCCGATTTTATGATCAGAGGGCCTGCCCGCCTCGGCGCAGACCGGGCAGCGAGCCGCCCCCTGGCATCCCTTGGCGCGGTGGCCGGGGTTACCGCAGCGGTAACATAGCCCGCTGCGGTCAGTGGCGTTATCGCATCGCTAGCGCACGTGCCCCGGTTCCAAACACCGGTAGCACAATTTGGCGGGAGCGGACAGCGCCACTACCCCGGCGCGAGTCCATCCAACTTAGACTCGCTCCGCGGTGGCTGCCTTCGCGGCAGCCGCCAGCGGACACCGCATAACCACTGTGCCGGTCCCCCACCGGGAGACACTTATCTCGCCGGAGGAAACTTCCTCCGGCGTGCATCCCCCGGCGAGGGCTACCGCGGCCGCCACCTCGTCGGCCCCGGTCGTCGCATCCAGGCCGGTCAGTCGCAGTGTCGCGATTTGACCGGCCTACAGATGCGAAACCCGGGTCCTTTCTCCGCCGCCAGCTTGCGGGGTTCCTCCGCAAGCCGGTCGGCGGCTGCCCCCGCGATGAGGCCAGGCACTTCGACCAGCATATCCCTGTTCAGGGCCTGAGTTACTCTCAGGGACCCCGGGATGCCCAGGTCTGCTGGTCTTATACGGCGCCTGGCCTCCACCATGAATTCCCGATAGCGATCGGGGGGCAGGTGATGGCGACGGCCGCACTCTTCGGCGGCTTCGGCCTACCCGGTCTCGCCACTTTCCTCTCCCTCTTCGTCCCCGCCTGGTTGGAAGGGGGAGGAGGGGGAGGGGCAGCGGGAGCCTTGTTCGCCTCCTTCTCCTCCTTCCTCCTCTCCCTTCTTCCCGAGGACCCGGGACCATGTTTCCTCCTTACCTTTTTCTGCCTGAGGCGCATATCTCAGCCCTTCCTCTATCCCCAGTCCCTCCAGTTTCCTTGCCGGGATTTCTGGTCCTCCTCCTTCGGCAGTTTCCTTCTCCCTCTCCTCCTGGAATCTTGCCTTTGCCTTTTTCCACTTTTTCTTCTCCCTGGCCCTTTCCCTTTCCCTCGATTGGTCCGCTGCGGTCCGTTGCACCTGGGCCTGGCTCTCCTTTCCACCGCGGTCCTCTTTCTTCTCCTTCTCCCTTTCCTTTCCCCTATGGACCTGGGTTGGTGCAGGGGTTCCCGTCTCCCCCGCGACCCGGCTCCCGTCCCATCCCGAGACGAGGTGAGGCTTCTGATCAGTCAGCCTCCTCACCCCGGCCGGGGATGCCCGAGCCATGGTCGCCATCGCGGCATCCAGGTCCCCGCGCACCTTACCCGGTTCCGTCTCCGCACCGGAGAGGGAGTCTCCCTCGGGAGTCTGTCGTCATAGACAGGACAGACCCCCGGGAGAGCCTCCCCCTTCCTCGTCTCTCCTCCAAGGGAGGAAGAGGAGGAGGTGATTCTTGCCACTCTCCTCACCTTCCTCTTCATTTTCCTTCTCCTCTCCTCTTCCCCTTCCTCCTCTGCTGAGGTGGACGCTCCCCCGGTCGTCACCTCAGCGTAAGTTTTGCTCCTGCTTACCGGTTCTGGTTGGGGTGGCTGGGTATGAGCCTCGCGGGCCCTGCTCTTCTGAAGCTCCTCCTGGAGCTTCTGGTTCTCCACTCGCAGTGCCCTTATGCTCTCCCAGAGGTCATCCAGTTCTCTTGTCACCTCCGGCCTCTCCGCTCCTTCGCCCTCTTGTGCCGCTACCCTGGCTATAAAGGTCGACAGAGCTGCATGCGTGGTTACAGTGGCCCGGTTTAGCAGGCTGGTGAACGTTCCTTGGTGTTGCACCGTTTGGCCACCAACCCGACCGCACCCAAGGTCCGTCCCATCTCATCTGCGAGCTCTGCCGACCCTGCCCCCCTGAGAAGGCCCATTGAGAATCCGTCCTTGAACACCTCCTCATTGGGCCTCTTATCCGCCAGAGTTTGGCATATTCCCCTCTCCATGAGATTCCATGCCTCTCTCTCCAGCTTTCTGAGGCGCTCTTCCTTTTTGTCCTTCCCCTCCTTTTCCTTCCTCTCCTTTATCCCAACCCCTAGGCCGGCCGTAGGTGGTCTGCCCCTCTTCTTCTGTTCCGGCACTAGTACCGGATCCGGTCCCTCCACTATTTCCACCGCCGTGGTGGATCCACCACTAGTGGAAGGCCGTCCTCTCTTCTTTTCCGTAGCCGCAGCTGGTTGTACCAGTGTCCTCCCCTCTGCTTTCCGGACCTGATACCTGGACCCTTGGGAGAGGAGGATGTCGGTGACGACTACCAGGCCACCGACCCTCGCCCCCGACACCCTCTCCCCCTTCTCCGTCCCCCCATCGATGGCCCTAAGTGCCCCCTCGATCTTATTAGGGGCAGACTCCCTCTGCCTCTTTTTTGTGCAGAGGGGGCCAGGCTTGCTGGCCCCTGGTACTGGCGTCCCCTGGCCCGCAGGGACCTCAGACCCCAGGGACATGTCTGTTCCTCGTACGTGGCCGTTCTCGTGATCCTACGCGGACAGCTCACCTTACCATCCCTCCGGTGAGGGCGGTAATCCCGACTACTGTCATCAGTACCCGTTGAGGGGGATGGGCTTCCCTCAGTTCATGGCCCCTCGGAGGCTACCCCTCCGAGGTCCATCGGCTCTCTCTGCCCGGGGGGAGATGGCGCCCGCCGGCAGATCTCTGCCCATCCTTACTCTTCTTTCTTCTTCATTCAAAAAATCACCTGCCAAAGCAGGTGGTGAGCCCTTAGGCGAGTTGATATACCCGCCTGTACGGGACTCTGAGTCCGAAGACTCGGAGAAGTGTTTTGTTTTAAATTGAGATCTCATGTTGTTCCCATGAGTACGGCGGAAAGTGGGTGTCGACCCCGGGTAGAGCCCCCGCATTACCTGGGGTAAGTTTAGCGTGTCCCTTGGGTTCGCCAGGTGCCCAAGGTGAGGAACCACTAGCGACAAGTCACGCACCTGCCATTCATCCCGTAAGCGTGGCATGCCTCAACCGTAGGATTACGTGGTGTTTTATAGAGGACCCGTCTCGCGGTCCGGCCAATTAAGGCAAGACCCCCGGCCCCAGAGACATGACTTAGGGTTACGGTGTGGTAGGCTAGGGTCTGCCGGGGTTGCCTGAGTCCCCTGTACCAGAGTGTCGAAGCACCCTGGCCCTTCTCAATTGTGTCAGGTTGTACGTCCTGACCAGTACGGGTTTGCAATCAGGGTTTTCCTTTCCCTAGAACGGTTGCCTTTACCCAGCTTACTAGCCCGTTCTGCCCACGCTGTAAGGTCCTTTGGGCTCCACGAATGAGACCCTCCAGACCCTGTTACAACCTGGAGGCAGCTGCCCATCCAGGAGTGTTATGGACGCTCTTAGTCTGGTCCCTCTGTACAGACCACTCCGGCATGGTAGAACCTGCCAGGGGCCGAAGCCCCCGCCGTCACAGCTCTGTACATCATTAGGACACACAAGCCCCCCCACCACGTCAAGGTGGCGCCCCCGGGGGGCGGAGGGGCACGCCTGGCCGCTCGGACGTTTCCGCGGTCGGGGTCGGTGTGCCCTACCACGTCCTGAGAGGTCCCACCCTTGGAGGCATTGCACGTCGGTGCTCCGGCAGCCGAAAAGGGGAAGACCACTCTCCTCACCCGTCACAGCCACGGCTGGGCGGATGGAGGACCCCACACCCAGGTCTGCACACCATGGGGAATTACCCCCATGGTACCCGGGGGGTGGAGGGGTGACTCGGGCCGCTCGGACTTATTCCAAGGTCGGGGTCGAGTCACCCTAGGGCAATGAGGGTAAAGGACCCCACCTTCAGATGCATTGCACGTCGGTGTTCCGGCAGCCAAAGAAGGTGGACCTCCCCGCTTTCCCTCACCCGTCTGGCTTCAGCCAGGCGGAAACAGAAACCCACACCCGGGTCTGCACACCATGGGGGCAAGCCCCCATGATACCCGGGGAATGGAGGGGTGTCTCGGGCCGTTCGGACATATTCCGAGGTCGGGGTCGAGACAAACCTTCAGGGAAGGCAAGTTCCCCCTAGTCTGGGGGAGGGCCAATGTGGTCCTCCTCCGAAAAGAGAGCAAACCGGAGGACTCCCCCTTCGCATACAGGCCCATATGTCTCCTAGACAAGGCGGGTAAAGTTTTTGAGCGAGTGATCGCGGCCCGTGGAGCATATGTTCCTGGAAGGACCAGACCTCGATGACGGCCAATACGGCTCCCGAGAGGGAAGATCAACGGTGGACGCCATTGAACGCCTAAAATCCCTCTCGGAGACCATAGTGCAGGAGGGCAGGGTGGCCGTGGTGGTGTCATTAGACATCGTCAACGCCTTTAACACCCTGCCCTGGGGTAGGGTTGTGGAGGCCATGAGGGAGTATTTCGGCTTCCCACCGTACCTCATGACCGTTATCGAGGACTACTTCCGGGGTCGGCGTCTAAGCTGGACGGACGCCGACGGCAATGTATGCGAGAGGGGGATGAGTTGCGGCGTTCCACAGGTCTTGGGCCGCTTACTGTGGAATCTCAGTTACAACTCAGTCCTCCGAACTGCCTTTCTCCCCGGCTGCAGTTTAATCTGCTATGCAGATGACACATTAGTCTTGGCCGGGGAGAGATTGGGGAAGGCCGTGAGAACGGCCAACTTTGCGTTGGCGTGCGTTGTACGCTCCATCCGCGGTCTGAGTTTGGAGGTGGCAGAAAGGAAGACCGAGGCAATCTTCATGTATAAAAAAGGGGAAGCTACCCCAGGCCCAGATCCGCGTAGGAAGAGTCAGGGTCCCTATAGAGGCCCAGATGAAATATCTGGGCCTCATCTTGGACGGCACCTGGTGCTTCAAGGAACATGTGAACCGTCTGGTCCCCCGGCTGAAAGCAATCTCAGCCAACCTGGGCAGGATAATGCCCCACGTCGGGGGATCGGACTGGAAGACCCGTCGTCTCCACGCTGGGGTATTGAATTCGGTTACTCTATATGGAGCACCGATTTGGGCTTAGGCTCTGGCCGCCAGTCGCTCGCTACAAGCGCTTTTGCGCAGAGCGCATAGGGCCCTGGCGGTCAGGGTTGCCCGGTGTTACCGAATGGTATCCCACGTGGCGGCGACGGCCCTGGCGGGTATGCCCCCCATCGAGCTCCTGGCCCTAATGTACAGGTATATGTACCGTAGGAAGCGGGAGCTCATAAGGGAAGAGGACGACGTAGCACTCGTCCGGGCATTACGAAGAATGAAGTACCAGGCTCGGCAGCTCCTCCGCCAGAGATGGCAGGAGTTTCTGGCAAACGCCAGGTATGGGAGGAGGATTGTCGAGGCCGTCCAGCTTTGCCTGCAAGATTGGGTAGGCAGGGACCCTGATTTTCAGAATGGCACAGGTATTCACTGGGCACGGATGCTTTGGTGAGTACCTGTGCAGAATTGGGAAGGAGCTTACAACGCACTGCCACCATTGTGAGAACGACCACGACTCCGCGCAACATACTCTGCAGGACTGCCCGGCATGGGCAGCAGAGCGCGGAGTCGTGGTCAGGGAAGTGGGACATGATCTCTCGCTGCCCACAGTTCTTAGGAACATAGTGGGGAGCCAGAAGAAGTGGAACGCATTTGCCTCCTTCTGTGAGGCGGTTGTCTCACAGAAGGAAGACGAGGAGGAAATCCGCCGGCAGGCAGAGGGGCGCGGAAGGCGACAGAGGAGGAGGGAGCGCCATAGACGCTGAAGGGCGGGGAGGAGTAGGAACAGGGAGGGGGACATTAACTCCTCCTCCGAGGAGGCTTTAAGGAGGATGGTGGATCCACCATCCCCACCACCTCAACCTGCTCCTCCCCCTCCAAGGGCGCCGACACCGCCAAGAGGAAGGGCTCCAGGAACGCCCCGAGTCGTCCATCGCAGGGCAGCAAGGGGCGCTGGAGCTAAGAGGCAGTCCCGGAAAGGGGTGGCAACGCTGGCCAGGAGGCCAACGTCACCACCAACTGCCCCACATACGGCAGCAGGAACAACACAAAGGGGAGAGAGAGTAAATTGCCCTCCGTCCCGCCGACGTCAACTCCTCGAGCTGAGGTCGGATAACAGTAAGGGGGGAGAGAGTAGGATGGTGGTGCTGATACCACCATCAAAGCACCTCTCCTCCCCCCTTAATCAAAGCTCATTGAGTATGTGAGTGCGGTAGGGAGGGGATTACAAAATCCCCTCCTTATCTCTCCCTTGCAAGGGAAAACGGGAGTGCCCGGCGGCTAGGGGAACAAGTTGTTCCCCGCAACCGCCGGGCAGGAAGGTGGACCACTGGGCGGGGACTCCCAGTATCCCAACCAGCCCTCCACACGCAGGATGACTAGCCGTGGTGGCCCGGCTAGTTACACAACAATACTTTGGCGGCGCCCTGCCTGGTCGGGAACGGTGGTTGAGCGAGCCGTTGGCTGGCTCCCCCTTTCCGGCCTTAGAGGCAGGGCGTGAGGGGGAGCGGTGGTTGAGAAGAAGCCTTGGCTTCGCCTTCCGCCTCTCCTTCACCTCTCGAGGGAACGACGATGAATGTCATCCGGATTCGGGACCCCGATTGCAGTTACGTAGGCACCGGGGCCCCGATTCAAATCCCTTCGCAGAGCCATCTGGGAAGGTTTTAGCCAGTAGGAGTCCGGCATAACCCCGACCCTTCCCCGAGGGTCGGGGTATCCATGATGGATTTCCTCCTTGTAAAAAGAAAATAGTCCCCTATGTCAGAGCAATGCTGGGGAGTGAGAGGAAATGGGACACATTTACTGTCTTTTGCGAAACAGTAATGGCGCAAAAGGAGGAAGCCGAGGAAATACGGTGACAGGCGGAAGGAAGGGGGATGGCGCAAAGAAGGCGACAATGTTGTCGAGCCGAGCGCCGCTCCCCCAGTAGAGAAGAAGACATTGACTCCTCTGAGGAGGAGCCGATCAGAGGGATGGTGGGACCACCATCCCTATCACCATTACCTCCTCCTCCATTTCCTCCCCCATTCCTCGATTCATCACCCTTTCCTCCACGTCCCCCTCTACCCATTCCAACTCCTTCCTCCCCTCCTTGCTCCTGACCCTATCCTCCACTCCCCGGAGGGCTCCTCCTACCCGCTTGATGCCCCTAGAAGGGCAAAACGTGGGGCAAGGATCCCCACCAGAGGGAGACCGACAGTCCGCGACAAGTCGTAGGATGAAGGACAAAGGGGAAGAAGACAGGGGGCTATTGACCAGCCCTCTAGTCATCCGCCGACTCCCAAGACGGGGGTTGGATGAGGGTAAGGGGGGAGAGGAGGTGGTGGCATTATCACCGGAAATACCTCCTCCCCTCCCCCTATTTCATCCCATGACCCGCTTAAGCGGGTAGGAAAGCAGGGGTGTCTCATCACCCTTTCCTGCCTGACTCAGGCACGTGGGCCCGGCGGCTAGGGGACCTATTCCCCCAGTAACCGCCGGGCAGGAGGATGGGGTTCCGGGCGGGGATTCCCGGGACCCCAGCCAACCCTCCAA